AGGTCCATTTAAGCAGAAAGGACCCGAGCCTGTAAGGCCGGGACATCAAGATTATAAAACCTGGCAAATGTGAACGGCGAGGCCCAGCCGGCCGCCGCACAAATTTCTGCAATGGAAACTCCGCTAGACCAAGCCCAAGAAGAGGCAATGCCTCTTGTTGAGTGGGCTCCTACTCCCATAGAGTCGAGAGCACTTTAGGTACATAACCATGCCTCGGCTTCAGGACGACCTTGGGCCCAAATTTGAGGCAGGTAGGGCTCACCGAGAGTGCCTGCAGATCTCCCATATGCTTTACCGATGCTAACGCCAGTAGCAGAGCGGTTTTTAGCATCAGGGGATGAAGGTCAACGGACTGTAGCATAAAGTAGGAGGTTGGGCCAGTCGTGGGTCGTGTCCTTCGAAAAGTAAATTGGGCAGTGAGAGTTGTCTTCTGAGGCTAAGAGGTCAACCTCTGCCTTGCCGAAGATCTCCCAGATTCTTTGAACCGTATGTGGGTGGAGCATCCACTCTTCTGAGGAGATGTTGCTCCAAGATAGCATGTCTGGTCCTTGGTTCAACCCACCCGTGTTGGAAGCATCTGTCGAGACCACCTTCCTTCTGCAGAACATTCCCTGGAGTACGCCACGTTCCATCCACCGAGTCCGTCACCAAGCCAAGATGAGCCAGTCATCGAGGTAATTCAAAATGCAAATTCCCATCTGTCTCACTTCGTAAAAGTGCGAGGAGCTAGGGACAGTCCAAAGGCAAGGACCGTGTATTGATATGCCACTCCCTCGAAGGCGAATCTCAAGAATCGTCTGTGGTGGGGGCTATCTGGATGTGAAAGTAGGTGTCTTTCAGATCCAGCGAAAAGAACCAGTCCCCTGGGCACACTTGCGAGAGGATCTGTTTCAATGTAATCATCCTGAACAGCCGTTTCATGAGGGCTTGGTTCAGGTGCCTGAGATCGAGGATGGGCCTTAGATTGACATCCTTTTTGGGGACGAGGAAATAGCGGCTGACTCGCTTTGAGCTGAGGGAACCATTTCTACGGCTCCTATCGCCAGCAAATTCATCACCTCGGAGCGCAGGACGTGTGCATCTTTGCTCTAAACTGAGGTGGGAACCACGCCGCTGAATCGCGGGGGTCTTCGAGCGAATTGCCGTGAATAACCTCGTTTTATTCTCCCCAAAACCCAGTCTGGCACTCCGGGGATGGCCTGCCAGGCCTCAGCCCGCGTGACAAGGGGTTGGATTAGTTCCAGTGGCTGGTCGCCGTATGGGGACCCCACACTCAGAAATTTTTAGACTTAATGCTCTCATAAAGAGAGCAGTCAGCCCCCAAGCGCGCTGCCTCAGCGTGGGCGTGACCCAGACGCGTCCAATTTGAAGCTGTCAGTGATAATCATTAAGTCCCCTGGGCACACTTGCGAGAGGATCTGTTTCAATGTAATCATCCTGAACGGCCGTTTCATGAGGGAGCAGTTCAGGTGCCTGAGATTGAGGATGGGCCTTAGGTTGCCATCCTTTTTGGGGACGAGGAAGTAGCGGCTGTGGAATCCTGACTCGCTCTGAGCTGGGGGAACCGTTTCTACTGCTCCTATCGCCAGCAAATTCGTTGCCTCGGAGCGTAGGACATGTGCGTCTTTGCTCTAAACCGAGGTGGGAACCACGCCGCTGAATCGCGGTGGTCATCGAGCGAATTGCAGTGAATAGCCTCGTTTTATTATCCCCAAAACCCAGTCTGGCACTCCGGGGATGGCCTGCCAGGCCTCAGCCCGCGTGACAAGGGGTTGGATTAATTTGAGTGGCTGGTCGCCGTATGGGGACCCCACACTCAGAAGAGGAATTTTGCTCTCTTTTGAAAATGCTTTCAAAAAATGCTTCGCTAGACTTAATGTTCTCATAGTGAGAGCGTGCGCGCTGCCTCAACGTTCAACAATTGGAAGCTGTCAGTGATATTAATCAGCATTCTCTTTTAATCCGCCTAAAAAGATCAAACCACTCATTAGAAGAAGAATACTGATGATCTTTGTGTAAACACTCAGGCAGATCAAAAGTGCTGCACGCATTCTCTCAGATCCACTCCCAGGCGAGAGGCGCATTCAAATACGAAGCTGTCAGCGATATTGAATAATTGGTGACAGCATTCTGCTCCGATCCTCATAGAAGGATTGCGTCGCTCGACAACGGGAGGCCCGATCCTCACGTGTGAACACACTGGCGGATCAAAGAGCTGCGTGGAGAGTGATGCACACGGGGGCTTTTGCCGGCATTAAATCACTCATGCCTGATCGCTCATCCCCACGAGAAACACAAGAGCGGGGGAAGCGGGGTTCAGCGACGCACACACAAATGCGAAGCTGCCAGCGTTCTGCTTTGATCTGTCTAGGAGGATTAAGCCGCTCGGTGTAACGAGGAGCGCTGATCCTCACATGTAACACACACTGGCAGATTAAGCATGCATGATGTGTGCCAGCATGAAATTGCTCAAGCCTGATCGCTCAACCCGCGAGCTTCCTCCGAGGTAACTGGGAGGAGAGAAACATAAGAGCGGGGAGGCGGGTCTGCCTTCAGCGAATGAACAGGGGCAGATTAGATTGCTTTCATGGTAAAAGCAGCCCGTCTCTGTGAGCGCAGCCATAGCGACACACACACAAATTCGAAGCTGTCAGTGACAGAGTTCTGCTTCGATCAACGTAGGAAGATAGAGCCTCTCGCTGTAACGAGGGGCGTTGATCTTCATGTGTAAGACACGGATCGACGCGCAGCTGGGACAGCAAGCACACAGGCTCCGAGCGTGAGATTGCTCAGACCCGGTTTGCTTAACTCCCAGACTTCGCTGTTTCTTTCTCTGAGGCTCGCTGAGAGAGGAGAAATGGGATAGCGGGGCTGCCTCATTGGAGGCGGTCCACGAGCGGAGAAGAGCGAGACTCATGCTCTGAGTGAGCATTCTGTCTCAGTGAGCGCACAGCTCACTGCCCTTCTGCAGCGGATTAAAGTGTAGCGGGGAGGGC